ACCGGTTTTGTTGTGAGTGATATGCGTTCTTAAGGTAATTTGAGTTACACTGATTGTTCCATGTTAAAAAGTGTTTTTCTTCAACGTTATGTTGATTAACAGAGAATTGTGATTAAAGAAACATTTATTTTGTGTTTTGAATTGTGTAGTAAATATTTCTTTTGTATTTCAAGTTTATTGTTTTACATGCTGACTATTTTATGAAGCAAATTCTTGGTATACAAGCAATAATTTGCTGTCCAAGAAGAAGTGATTCGTAAAAACATCTAATAAAAAATTTTGTATCAAAGGAGAAGGCGCAAAAAATAATATGCACATGTACAACTCTGACCGTAGGTTTTGCAATCGTCGCGGGTTGAAACTGGTAACGCAAACCAACCGGTCAGAATCGGTTAGACCTGAAAGGTGTAGTTACCGTTACCGTTGCATCCCTAAATCTCCCCCCTTATTCTTCTAGAAGGCGTCTCGTAAAGAATGCAAAATATGATACTCGGCCAGAACACAATTTTTTACCTATTTGGGGTGAAAGCAGGACGCGCATTCTTAATGCTTTTCCTTCGAAAAAGTCAACTTTTTCAGACATATCTCAGATAATCTCCAGAAGTGGATAATCTTTTTTTCTCGCGCCTCGATGCGTATTGATGCGAGTTTTTAACAATCTTTCTGGCATCGATGCATTGTATTTTACAGTACCAAAAAAGGGGTTTTCTCAAAATAAAACCCCAATTTTTCAAACATATATATGTTTGAAAATATTAAGTAAAATTATTTCTTTTTCGTTCTTGTTTTACCAAAATCGCTTTGATTTAGTACCAGCGATTTAAAAAGAGATTAGTGTTTAGGGAGCAGCTTTGCAGGATGCCCGGGAAAGAAAAAGAAAAGCAAAATTTCTAATCGAGCTTTTTCCAAATGCGAATAAGTTCTTCAAAGTTTAAGTCCAGTCCAGTCTAGTGCAGGTCGATGAATTCAAAAATTTCCATTTCATACAGAGCTCTGGGTGAGAGTCGACCACCCAATTACCACCCACATAAGTGAATGAGTCACCCAGATAGATAGGTGGTTTTCATATTTCGAAAGGATGTCACCCATTTTAGTGGATGTGGTGGACAATGCAGTTGGATGACGCCTGTTGCCAAATTATATAATGGCTGTTTTCTTGCTTTGCTTTTTAAGTGGCATTCCTTCTGGTTTGTTGCTTCGAACGACTCTGAGTTTCTATTACAGCTCCGTATGTGATTTGCAACTATTAACCGTTCCAAAATACAAGGCAGGCAGTTGCTTTTTTAGTAACTTTTGATACACAATAGATAGAGGCCTACGGTTTTCACTATCCAATAGCCGAGGCCTGTATGTACCTTTCCACAATCAAAAATGATTTCGGAAAAAGATTCAAAGATCGGATTTTGACCAGATCTTTGAAAAACCAGTTTGGATCTCTGAGAACTGACATAGAAATAGGTCGATCTTTCTTCATAGATAGTTAGTCCAAAGTGTCCTCTACAAAATGGGAACCAACCGAACTTTTAAGTTTTTCCGGTTGAGACGTGGCACTGAACTTTCTGAGAGTTCCAGAATCAATATTTCTTTAGATGTGGCAATTCCGAAAATAAATGGAAACGTAGTTAATCGATCACGATGAGTGCCGTGGCAATATTTGTTTTTCAAAACATTTGCAAAAACCTGGTAAAATATAGGTTTTGCCTATAGTTGAGTAAAATTAAAAAGTTCATAACTCAGCCAAGATCCATCAAAATTACGTCAGGATATCGAGATGTACTCTATTTTACCTGCTTTGTATGTGTTTTTATTTGAGAATAGTAAAAAATATTCGTACAGAATATGTATAATATTTTTACCCACTCTTTTTCCTTTCTGTGTAAAATGATTTTTTACCCAAAGGTTGCTCAAAACTAGCGAATTTTTTAGAACGGATTTTCTCAGCGACCTTAAGTGCTTAAACAAAAATCCTTTCGCCGTTAAATCGGCCGTTAGCTAAACTATATTTGACACTATTCAGATCATGAAAAAGTTCACTTACGTTCTTTCACCTAATGTCCACGTTGTTCTCCACTGTGCGATATTCCAGGTCTGAGAGATTTATCTGTTTAACAAGAGAGCGCCTACCAACAGTATAATCAAAACTCCAACAAATGATCTGAGGAGCTAGTGTCGCTGAACGAACTCGGCAGGTATAAGATGAGATGAGAGAGTGAAGTCGTAGATAGCACAACAATAGTGCATTTAGTAATAAAGTATACATACTTTATATAGGAGTCAAAAACATTTCAGAGCATCGCGAAAAACTCTGTTTCGACCATCCAGTATCCCACGAGAAGACTTTGTCACCTTGTTCACATGAGCCGACCACTTAAGATCGAACGAAAGTGTAATACCGAGAAGTTTGGTTTTAAAGGAACGTTATTCAGAACAAGAATCTGGATGTGAAAAAGGATTTTCATGAAGCAGCGATCAATCAAAACGTTTGCTTGTGAAAACTTTAAAAGCTATAATTACCATGGATTGTAAATTCTTCCGTAGTAGGGTGATCAAAGTACATATCGAAGCCTTTTGATATTGTGCACAAGTGTGGCAGGTAGCTAGCTTTGCGCGAATATTAGATTTGCATCAGCTTCGATGTTCATCGTTGTTGTTATGCATATGCATAGGAAAATACTAACGAGTAAAAAAGAAAACAATAATTCAAAATACTTTTTCTAAGTTTCGTAAAACACAAACAACAAAAAATAGAAATAAAGAAACAAAAGTGAACATTAAAACATGGATCAGTATTATTAACCCCCCTTCCCCCCATAATAGAAGACCATCCCCTATTAGAAGACCACTGCCGATTATATGACTTGAAAGCCAATTAGAAGACCATGGTCTTCTAACTTCTGGAAGACCAGTCGTCTTCTATTATGTCCGCGAAAAAAATCGGAAAATGCCCTATACCAGAGGGGAATTTTCAAAAAAATTTCGCCAAAAAGTTCTTCTAATGGGGGACGGACTTCAAATACGTGAGGTTGCCGTTGGACTACTAGCAGGCGAGAAAATTTGACCGCAATAGATGACCATCCTTTAGAACTTGACTTGAGAGACAAAACAGAAGACCAGGTGGTCTTCTATTATGGAGGGGGGGGAGTTTACGCGCTGTTTGACCAATCAGTTTGACGCTACTTTTCAGACTGACACTACAGCGGATGCACTTAGTCGTCAGTCCTCATCCCATTTAACCACAAAGTGCTCCAACGTACAGGCAGAGGCCCTTACAACGAAAAGTAGCTTGTAAAAACGATGAGTCATTGGTCTTTTGCTACAGGCTATTATTGGCGGCGCCAGGATTTTTCGGGTGTCTGGGCTCAGCCCATAATTTTTCAAAAATCGATTCAGAATTTTACGTGACTATTGCTAGTGAGTACTCTGTTTTCAAATTTTTGGGTGGTTGGGCTCAGCCCACCCTAGCTCTGCCCTGGCGCCGCCACTACCGACTATTGCGCAATACTCACGAAAATTCGATACAACCTATGACTCATACAAAAAAGACGATTTCTGTAGAGTAATATTTTATCGGTCAACCTTTACCATTATGAGCCGTATCAAGGCTTCACACTAGTCAAACAACATAGTTTGGAGCTGGAAGAAGTTTGGAAAATTTGATAGGTTTCATTAGAAAAGCGCTATTTGATGAAGAGTTCCAATCCTGTTTGTGTGGTGTCTGTTTCAGAGTAGAAAGAACTATATGAAGGAAAACGGCTGAACACTGACATTTGTCAAATAAGCTTATTTACTACGTCTTTCTGGAAAACTTTGCATCTGTAAAAAGGAGTTCTTTAATCTTGTTCAGTATTCCATCGAAACAAGAAGTTTTGGCTTGAGAAATTACAAGGACGGTATACAGGTTGATCTTTATTGACTCTGAGTTCAACTTCATTCAGGGTGGTTTGATTATCGTGATCGTTACTGATTCTTATGATCATGACATACGTCACTTGAATAGCTCTCTTTCACATTTTTTGCTTCACCTGCCCTGAGCCCAAATTGCCGGAAGAACGACACAGATGAAAAATGAAATGAAGATGGGTGAAAGAATGTCAGCACAGAAGGAGAGGAAGGAAGAGGGGATTCGGTCAATACCTACATTAGATTTTTTATCCAACTTCCGAAACAGATTCTCGACGTCTCGCATGGAGAAGTCAAGCTGTTATCCATTGTTGGCAAGTCTGCAGTGGCAGAGGGAGGAATTGGACGCTGAAGGAAGAATAACAGAAAGAAAAATGGCAGTTGAAGGATTCGGATTTGTCCACATTTGTAGGAACAGATGATACATCATTAAGGCAGATTCGAGAAAAAAATTGGATTTTTTGTTCTTAATGAACACAGATCAAAACGACCATCGTTTCCCTACATGTTGCAAGAACAATTGACATATGAAAACGAAAAACATCTGCTCGAAATAAAAGATTCGGTACACAGAGACGAATTGAAACAGGCCATAATCAAAATCGAACAGCAGATATTAGTGGAAAATCCTCCACAGAAATCGATTTGGCAAGAGCTAGCCGAACAAATGGTGAAACAATCGATCGAAGAAGTTGTCATATGGTAGGCATTAGACTCTGCTGAAACTGGACATTCGGACAAGAATGATTTAGCCTCGTCTGGAAAATGGTATCTACCTCTCGTCGCTCGTCGACAAACTGGCTGACATGAAAGAACAAGTTATTCCTATTCTAATCGACAACATTCGTCTTCTTCTGTCTTGACGACCGATATACAAAAAAACCCATTATCTACAACAGCTGATATCAAGCGATTTCGAACAACAGAGATTGGAATCGGTCTAGTTAGCAGATAATTCATGCAAGAAAATAACAGATCGATCCTGGAGATTCATCTTCACCAGAAAAGTTAGCCTTGTCATCGTCGGTGCAACGATAATATAAAAGGGCAACAGTCGGTCGGCTCCTCGAAATTTTTCAATCATCGATTTTCAAATTTTGCTATGGGCTCTTCATATTTGCCCTTATTATGATACTATCTACTGGTATCACGCCAGAACTGGCTGCACCAAAAGTTTTACGTTTACAACAGAAAGCATGACGGTGATGATCGGGTAATGCATAACAAAATAAATAGTCGATGCGTAAGCCTTTTTCAATAAATTTTCGATACGATGAATCGTTGGATAGCATAATGGTAGAATAATAAAATTGAAATGAAAGAAGTTTATGTGCAACGACTAAAGATGTATTTTGTTTAAAACGAGAATTTAGAATAAACGGCGACGTAATGGATGAAATAGGAATAGAAACTGTAGTTTGACTGTTTGAATTAGGAGGAAGATTTACTGATTTAGCTAACATTACAGGAAGTATTTCGGGTTTGGTATCTTTATCGATATTGATCAACCATGTTTTATTATTAGTTTCAATTGTTATAGTTTGATTTTTGATGTCGATGTTTAGGTTATATCGATTTATATAGTCCATTCCTAAGATGATGTCCGTGCAAAGATGTTTTGCTACATGAACATAAATTTTTGTTGTCAGAGTTCCAATTTTAATGCACAATTCAATAACTACTAATACATGAAATGGAACTAATCCATCAGCAAGAACGAATGCTTTTTGTTGTTTATTTATATATTTTGGGTGTTTTGTTTTACGTAGTGATTTTTCGTTGATAAAGGTTGTAGTTGCTCCAGTATCTATGAGTACGCGCATTTTACAATGATTGACGAGTGGGCTGATGAAGATTAAAGATGATTTTGATGGGTTTTGTTGATTATGACCAGAGGCAACACCATCACTCTTTGGCTCCGTAACTAGAAACGGGGGCAGGCAGAAGCCAAATGTCCCGTTTTTCCACAACGAGTACACGTAATTGTTGGCAGGGATTCTAGGGCTGTGACAGTTACCAGTTACCGTTACCATCGTTCCCCGTTACTAACGGTAACGATAGTTGACATAAAACTAATAAGCATCGTTCCTCGTTAGTAGAGGTAATGGTAATTGATATACAGTAAGAAATCCTTTACCCTCCAGTAACGAGGAACGATGCTTATTAATTTTATATCAGTTACCGTTATCTCTAGTAACGGGGAACGATGGTAACGGTAACTGGTAACTGTCACAGCCCTAAGGGATTCATGATCATTTACAGCAGCAACTGTGTTTCTTTGTTGATTACTGCGTTGCTGAGTATTAACCGAATACCGTTCTCGTTGTTGAGTACTATTTTTTCGACTCAGTTTTTTGTGCTGATAACGAATCTGTATTTAATTTATGACTAAAAGTCTTACTTGAATTCGAAAAGCCTTGAATACCGCCTAAAATGACTATGATACGAGTAAAAACGATTTTTCTCAACACAGGAAAGAAAAGAAAAAAAAAGGATACGTAACTTTGTAACTGGTGGTATGATGAGTCGAATGAGATAAAACATTTGCCTTTATCACTCGCGTAGAAAAACTAGATAAGTTTACAAAATCGACCAATATGTGGTGCACTCGACGCGATTCGAAACGCCACCATCAGTAGGGTTTGGGGTCCAGAGTCGATTTAAGAACTTTCTTATATTCAGTTTTTTATGCTGAATCTGGAAAAATTATGTTCAGAAGCAAAAAAGAAGAAAGAAGTAGAAAATTTTGCACATTTCGAGAAAGAACGTGTTTTTCTCGAAAACGACACCTTTCGAGTATTTCGTATTTTTCGACCGGAAGGAAGCATTTGCTAAGGCTAAAAAGTAGTTTTCCGTGATCAGCAGCTCCAGCTCTATCCAATGATGTAAAGAAAACACGAAAAAAAAATTTACTGAAAGTTTGAATTGCCTGCACCTTATATATATGAGCCAATTGCAATTTTATTGTACTGTTTGAATCCAAAATGTGAATAAAAAAACTCTCCGGGCCCTATCGACCGATCTTCATTATTTTATTATTATTTTCTTTCCCTAATTTGTCCCCACTACTATGGGGAAAAGGATGACTTTATACCAATGAGATCCTGAGATATTGGGCGCACAAGGTCCGAAAAGCCGGTTTTTAGCGCTACCTGTCGTTAAGAAATGCTTCTTATCTAATTTATTCTTCATCATTGACACTCAGCGATTCCATCAATTTATAGTAAACAGTCTGGGATTTCAGAATATGTGACTGATTAGCACCGTGATTACACTTATCTCAGCCATTGTTTATAAAAAATCCGTTTACAATCAAACGTGATTTTCTGTCACGCGAGATTAAAAACGATGCCCAGACCGAACAACTAATCTGAAAATCCTCAGGAAGGTGTTGAATGAAAGCCAACACTCGGGGGCATATAATGATAAAGAGACGAAAACAAGCACATTTTGTCTTGGTAAGAAAAAATCTGAAACAGAATTAAAAATGACGATTGTCACGCTAAATGTCACGCGAGATTATTTGTTTTGTTTTATCTACAACTCTCTTATTTTTTGACCGTTTGAGACGAAACTTGGCGCATTTTAACTACTTATTGAGTCAACTTTTCGTGAAATGAACAGCGTCTGAGAGTTTACGGTTCGCGAGAAAACTGAGAATTACTGAAAAATGTCACGCGAGATTTTTTTATGAAAAAGTGTCACGCGAGATTAAAACCGATGCCTAGACTGAATAGATTATCTGAAAGACCTGCCACAGGTTTTGAATGAAAGACAAGACTCGGGGGGCATTTTTTATTCATATTTTGCGCTTTGTCTCTTTTATTAATAAACTAGAACTGGTTTGTATTCAAACGTCTCTTTATCGCTGAAACTCCAAGTTTTTCAGCTACAAGCCGAACCAGATCCGCCAGTAAAGGATGTGATACACACCATTGCGTCCGTCTCATCGAGATCTATTGGATGGTGTACCATACTTGTACTTTTGTGTCATACCAAAAGCTTTTTCCACACATAACCTCCGGGACTTCTAAAGTATTTCGAAAAACTCTCCTGTCTCAGCCATCTTGATAGTGACAGTCGGGAATTTTATTTTCTGTTCTCCTCTCATATAGTACAATGAAATGTACTATTTAGTTTCTTTACAGTCAAAAATTTTTTTTCGCTCATTTTTTCCTCCTAACGGTACAATAAAATTGCAATTGGCTCATATGTATGTATATATATATGTATGTAGTATATACTAATAGACCAAAAATAACACAGTAGTTAACAATACAGACGACAGGACAGTCTGTGAAAAAATCTCTCTCACACGTGGATAAAAGAGAGAGAAAGAAACAAGAACGAAAATAAAAGGAATGTCACTATCTAGCTGATCAGAGAAACAAGAAAGGCAGCGACGGTTAGCGACAACGCTGGTTTATGGCTGTAGCTAATACAATATATTCCTGCTTACATATTTTCTTACTATTTAAGAAAGTCTTTGAAGTTAAATAATATTTGAAAGAAATAAAGTTTATCAAAAAACCAGAAGTCCATAGAAAAACGAACTTCTCTACCAAATAATCAAAAGGGAAGAATGTCTTCGTATTTCTCAACAAATGATTCCAAAATTCTAGCAATATGCAAGACAATGAATTAATTCACCAACAAAATCAAGAAATGAATGAAATGCTACTCTCTCTTTTGTACTACCTAATCCATGTACCCATGTCTTTAAATACTAATAGACAAGACGTAAATATCCATTAGTCATCGCAAAGTTATGATTTCTTCCTCTTCTGTAACATCTTGTTAAAGTAAATTATGTCGCTCTACGCGAAGTAATGTGAGATTCTTTGTTCACAGCTCATACAAAATAATCGTCAGAGTAAAGAAAACGCGATAGTTCTTTTATCTTGTGAAACAGCTTCAAAATCGTTATTATCTCAAACAAAGAAAATCTGTAAACCAGAAACGAATCGATTAGGATCCGTCCACATGTGATCCATTCAGTTTTAGTTCCTCTACTCCTAACGCCACAATGTATCTCTTGTTGCAAACCCTAGCTGACTGCTGACCTAATACTAGAATAGCCTCTTATCAGAGCCACATTTGAAAAATTTGAAAATGTCGAATGTAAATGTTGCTTGTAATAATTCGCACTAATAAACATCGGAAATTTTGAAAAACGCAGATACAAGTAGCTTATCCGTAGATTCGGTCACAACTGACCTTAATCACAGTGAATTTGGAAGTAAAAACACATTTTGAATAAGGAAAGCTTATTTTGTTAAGTTATATGCGTTTGAGGTGAATAATTACAATAGAGATATAAAAAAGTTGTAAGAGTAGTACAGGATGAGTTAAGACATGTATAAATGCATGACGTTCAGTTATATAAAATAAAGACTAACTTTTCCATTACGATTAAGGTGCTGCTAATTCAAAGTTTTCACAAGATTTTATTTTTCTATGAAACACACGTATTCTGATTCGCTGGGATGCGATGATCACGAATATCACCTTTTTAGTACGATTAAAGCGCATCTTCATGGGGAAAAACTCAAAATACTGAGCAAACGTCAAAAATCAAAACACTACCTTGGCGAAAAATTGTTCTATGTTTTTCCATTTTGTTCTAGAGCTCTGAAAGTTTCTTTTTCTGAATCCTTGCGTGAAACTGATTCTGAAAATGTGTTTTAGAAATTTTTAGCACCTTGTCTTCACGTCGAAAAAAAATTATCTATAGCAACACATCATAGATGAGCACCTTGCTTTTGAAAACTTTCACAGTTTTTCTGTTGATGTCTAAAAAGTTTTTCCATAGTGCATCAGAATGGTCGTCAGGCATACAATAGAACTATGTGTGTAGATTTTTGAAATTTTTCTTCTTTACTGAGAAAATTAATTTTTTCTAAATTAGATGCGAAAAACTCGAAATTCTGCTCGTAATTCTCGATCAGAACTCACCTTTTATCCAACAGAAATGTCATATTCAGAATCAGGATCAAAAACTGAGTCGATTGATATGTATTTCTATTCTATCCGACTGCTTTGATTTTTTTCGAATCTTGGGCAAAAATCTCGGTCATTTTTCAATGTGAAAGGTCTAGAACAAAACGGGAAAAAGGAAATTTTATTTCGAAAACTCTTTGTATTATAACTTTGGCCCACTGTAAGAGGAATTCTTTTCCTTTCTTTCCTGAGGATGCGCCAGGCCATGGTACCAAAACAGAACTAATGTTCAACGTTTTTTAATCACCTTTATTGGGAGCTAAGTATTTCACAAACTAAACGGGATTCTTTTCTAGAAAATAGACCAGTATAGTGTACAACTTGTGACTTGTGTACTTCAGACTAGTATAAAAAGTGGAAAAGGATCTTCTCTAATTAATATAATTTTAACTCGCGAAGTTGGCAGAATGCGAAATAAATTTATAGTGAGCACTTTCTTCCTTGTCCGTATAAAAGACGAACATTCGATTTAAAATTTGTTCGATTTCTTATTTTATTCGGAAAACAAAAAAATGTTGTATATAAGTAGAATATACAGAAGCAAAATAAATCACGACGAAACAAGATCAAATCGAAAGCAGTCTCTTTCATGTTTAGAATTAACGTAGAGTGCAAAACTATTATACAATGAAATGCTCTACAATAGAGAAATAATAGGCGAGTGGAGGAATAGCGAGCGACCCACTGGAATATACTTTGAAACGTTCCCTTATTCAGGTAACAAATACAATGTCAGTGTTTGTGGTAGAGAATGATTTGTGGCCTTTTCTTCCATCTCGGAAAGAAACCATCATTTCCTTACAAGACCTTTTAGGGCGATTTGACACAATGATACTACAAGGTCAGTCTTATCATGACCCTCATTTTGCTCTGTACTGCCTCTTAGATATTATTTAAAATCCTTACAACTTTCCTTAGATAGGAAAAACTACATCTTGCTAGACAAATTTGCACTTAGCGGAAAGAAACTTTTCTCTACATCTAGAGATGTATGTTAAATAAAAGAGACTTTAATGGTAACTAAGATCCGAAAGAATTTTTTAGTGGGACGGAAGGGTATCTATGAGTGGCCTTGAACCTGGTCTTTTCTCTGCTTTGTCCTGCTAGCATTAAACAAAAAACAAACACTTTGTTTCTTTTTTCTTTTAAGATATCACACGAGCTTAAACGACGAGCATGACTATTATGTCTCATATTTACATGACTTTTATCGTGTTGTGCTATGTCAAGTATGTTTTTGCTTTTCCTTCAAGAAAATGTCAGGGAGGTTTACCTAGTTTTCTATCTCTTTTTTTTTTTACTGGGGATGACCTAGACAAGTTCTTTGTTGAACTTTTGTCATTACCCTGTCATTCTATTAACATCATGGACCAAAATAAAACTGATTTGATTTAGATTGAGAAGAAGGTTCTATCTTGTGCTGAAATATTAGTTTTTTGTAGAAGTGTTTCTTTGTTCTTCGTTCAAACTTGGTTTTCTTTGTAAAATTCAGTTTTTTTTTTTTTTAAACTTGTTTCTTATTTATTTAACGCCGGTCGCACGGA